AGAGGAAAAAAATATGAGAAACTGAAAAAATGGAAATAAAGTGTTGTAGATGGGGAGGGGAGGAGGGGGTGAAGGGAGGGCAGGGACAAAGGGAAAAAATGAGAATCAAGACCTATTATGTAAAGGTACAGAATCCCAAGGATGAATGTAACTGTATTGCATACCTAGATTGTACCAATAAACTCAATAAAAAGAAAAAAAAATCAACCAATAACAAATGCTGACAGGGATGTGGGGAGAAAGGAAACCTTCTCCTTTGTTGGTGGGAGTGCAGACTGATGCAACCACTGTGAAAATCAATATGGAGCCACCTCAGAGAACCTAGGCTTAGAGGTTCCATTTGACCCAGCTATCCACTGGGTATCTTTCCAAAAGAATTGAAGAATCATACCACAGTGATATATGAGCACCCATGTTTATAGTGGCACAGTTTATAATAGCTAAAACTTGGAAACAGCTGGGCTTTTTTATAAATGTGGTTTTTCTATAAAATGGAGTACTACTTAGCCATAAAGAATAAGAAACTAGAGTCATTCATAGGAAAATGGATGCATATTGAGGCCATACTCTTAAGTGAAATAAGATGCACGTGTAAATACCAAATAGTTTCTCTGGTATGAAAATTTTTAAAGTGTAAATTGTATAACTATACAAATTGTATAACTGATAATGTGAAATAGGAAGAAAAAGGCTGAAAGTTTAGGGGAAGTGGGAAGAGTAGGGAAAAGGAAATAACGGACAAGAAAAAATATGAGAAAAGGAAAAAAATGGAAACAAAGTCTTTGTAAATAGGGGAGGGTGGAAAGGGTGAAGGGAGGGCAGGAGAATGGGGAAAAAATGAGAACCAAGACCTGTCATGCAAAGGTACAAGATCCCAATGAGGAATGTAACTATTGTATACCTAAAAAGTACCAATAAACTCAATAAGATTTTTAAAAAATCAGCCTGAGCTATATAGCAAGGCCCTGTCTCAAAAAAAAGGAAGTGAATGAAAAGGGAAGTAGGTTAAGGAGCACATTTTG